TCTACCTATTCTAAAATATTGCCCTGAACTTGAGAAGACTACCATAGGCATTGATTCCTGACACTACATTCTATTATCTTTGTTTGTTTAAGAAATACAAATGGATCCATTATGACTGCAGATTTAATAAATGAATGCTTTTTATAAAAAATAAAAAAAATTCCTTTGGTGCATAGGCTAATGAAATGTGCTATGTGTACGGCAAGGTAAAATGTATGAAAATGAGAAAATAACTCGCCTAAAATACAATCTGTATCTAGCCACATGTATGTACATGCATTAGGTTAAGTATCCTGACAGTAAAAGAATTAAATAGGGAACATACCCTGAGAAAATATGTTAGGTGTAAAACAACATTATAGTCTTAATGCTTCTAAAATGTGTGTTTTTAGAATTAAAAAAAAATTGTAAATTGAATGAAGTCTCAATTCAAAACAAAAGTTCTAAAGTTATATTTACTCAAATATATTAACTTTCAGCTCTTTCAATCAAATCTAAGTGAAAAAACAGATCTAAAGTAATTTTTGATAAGTTTTTACCTTTGTTTATGGTTTTATTTCGGGATTTTTTCACTGCAGGTCAAATTACAGGAGACCATTTGATTGATATTTCTTCTGGCTGTAACATTCACCATCTATTGCCCATGTTTGAGTTTTTCAAAGACATCACCATTTTAGAATTTAGTGATCTCTGTTTGAAGGAACTTGTGAAATGGAAGCATAGGGAGTCAGAAAGCTATGACTGGACTCATGCCTTATCGATCATGAAAGAATTGCAAGGTTCAAGGTAAGGATCATGCTAACAGTCCTGTTTTTGCTGACTATAGATGTATAGTTAATTACTGTGACCGACCATCTGGCACCCCGACTGGGTACCTCTGCCAATTTATTCTTCCTAGCTTACGCTGAGAACCATAAGCACCGCACCGGACACTGTAAGCACCGTAGACCCCACAAACCAACGCATCTTGGTTGGGGTCTCGCCATCTCTTTCCACCCTGGACCAAACTCCTGGATCCCAGGACTCAGTGGGAAGGCCTCTCCTCCAAGAGAGTATATCTGTGAAGCTCTTACACGAGCTAGTAGTGATGGCAGTATAACAGGAACTCTTTGTATAACAGTAGAACTCTGTGTTGAGGGTAGAGTAAGACTGAATTTTAATGGTGCCACACTGGACTTTTATGACAATCCCCATGCAAGGGGTAGGACCACATGGACATTGTTGGGGACTCCAGCACAAAGACACAGACCAATAAGAACAGTGATTAAATACACAACACTCTCATAACAAACATACAATCCCTCCTCTCTGCCTGGGAGATATTTGAGTCAGATACTGTATCAATTAAAAAAACTCCAGGTAGAAAAAAACACATATTTTTAAAAAGTCCCTAAAGTACCCCAAAACACATAGTATGCCCACAAATGTTACATCCCCTGATAGCCCTGATCAGGGTCACAAAATATCCAGAAATCACCCAGATCAGTTCAGGAATTCAGGAATTTTATGGAAGTCATGTATTTGACCGACCGCAGGCATGGTCCCATAGCTGAAAGTAGTTCCATAGAATCACGGCTAAGTGCCGCTGGAGGACCGACCGGGAACCACAAGGTTTTCATGCCGAAAATAGTTCCAGGGCATTCGCGACTAAGTCCCCCTGAAGTCTATTCGCGGTTTTGGTCCATGCAAACAAGATGGCCGCAACCTCGTGGTCGAATGGCACTCCAAATGGCTTCGGGAGTTGGAAGTGCTGCTTAGAAAATTCGAATTGTTCCTATTATAAGTCTCAACAGTCACAAATAACATTTTCAACCAGGGTTTAGTCACAGGGTAGGAGGATGGCAAGTATGCCCCTCCAAGGACCCGTGATGAGGTCCAATTCATCACAATTACTTTACTAAAACATAAGTAGTTATTGGGAATTAAAAGACAAACCTATCCATGTAGTAGATCAGGGACAGAATTCAGGTCTTTTTGAATCTTATTAATTGTTTATATTCTCTGTCACATAGACATTCACATATCTCAAAAGCATGGATGGGTCTCTCAGACATTGGTTCTTAATGTGTGATTAGTGAAATGTAATAAAACAATAAACAGTCCGCCGCTTCCCAAATGTAGAGTGCTGTTATTTTGATTACATTTTATTATCAATTTACAAAATAAGAATAAATAGATTATTTTCCGTGTGCCTAGCCCTACTATACGCTCACATATATAAATATGGATTTATATATATAGCATTACACATTACTTGCACCCAGGTGGTAATCAAGGTCATCAATATAGGAAGAAATATTTTTACCTAAATATATACGTACACATGTTTTGAATATTTGTTTACATATACTGTAACGGTTCTATGTAGTGGTTGTGTTGCTTAGACTGTTTCTTTGAAGATAAAAAGTTAACCTGCCCCTCTACCCCCCTAGAAATTAACATTACCCCTTGCCTTCACTGTCAATCACAGTGACGATTCATGTAACTTTTTGTGAAGATACATTCTGATTTATTGTGAAGACATGCTTCACCAGAAAAGAAACAGCAACATTTATGACGGAGTGTCAATTCTAGTCTTTAGCAAGGTCGCATGCATACGTGGGTTTCAATATGACCTCATATGATGTACATAGAAAACATAGCAGCTCCGTTAGTCCAACCTTTACGTAACATAATATAGCTTAGTAATACAACTTCACGTCATGCATTGTTATTATAATTATATATATATAACAAATACGGGACTTCTAAAACAGTTCAACACATTGATTGTCTGAAAAAAATCCCTTTGATTCGTATTAAAACTCATCAATTTGTTCTGAAACTAAATGGAAATTCCACCTCAGAAATATGAACATCAAATTAATCGATATGTTTATGGACAAACCAAACGTTTTGTACAAGTCTAATAAATATGGTGAACAATTTAGTAAGACTTATTTCCAAATAAGTAAAAACAAAACAGAGCAAATCAATGCTCCTTATAAAGACACGCTACAGATCACGTGTTATGTGTGTCTCCATTGTATGTATGTATTAAACGTTTAGCCATCTGGTTATATTTTTCAGCTTCAAGGGCAATGAAATGGAAAATGCTTTAAGAAGAAATATCTCACACATTTTAAAATGTGATTTCACCAAGGAAAACATCACAGATCCAGTCGTTCTACCAAAAGCAGACTGTGTGGTCAGTTTGTTCGTTTTCCATTTGGTTTCTGAAGATCAAGACGAATACTGCAGGAACCTGAAAAAAATGTCATGCTTGCTAAAACTGGGTGGGCATCTACTGCTATTTGGAGCATTTAATGGAACATATTACACTATAGGTGGGAGCAAATATCACATATTAACATCTGATAAAACGTCTGTAGAGGAGGCTCTTAGAGATGCAGGATTTGTTATCGAACACCTGGAAGTGATAGAAAGCAAAATACGCAATGATACATCATATAGTGAACATTTGTTTTTTATTAAGGCCTTAAAAGAGAGAAATGTAGTTGTTTAACCCCTTCAGACCAGAGGGCGTACTATTACGCCCTATATTAGGCGGCTCTAAACGCCGCCGGGCGAAATAGTACGCCCTCCGTTTTTTTCCTACTTACCCGGTCGCCGGCGATCGCATGCCGGCGATCACGGTTGGGGGGACTCCCAGGGAGCCCACCACGGTGGATCCTGCCTCCTCAGCCCTCCCCCGGCCATGTGAGAGTGAGGTTCTTGCGAGGACCTCACAATCACATGGCCGGGATAGCTGGCTAAAGCATTGCCAGCAGGGGGGCTGCCTGTAATGACAGGTGGTCCCCCTGCTGGCTGAAAATAAATAAAAAATAAATTAAAATCAGTGTAAAACAAATATATATACTTAGATCATATATATATATATATATATATATATATATATATAAATTATATATATATATATATATGATCTAAGTATATAAATATACACATACACATACACTGTGTAGGTGTATTTTATTTATATAATTATATATATATATATATATATATTAATATCAAATTACACGTAGACTGATACTTATTAAATATATATATAATTATTGTTATATATATATATTTATATATAATATAAAAAAATATGTAAATACGTTAAAATATTAAATTAAAAAAAATTATTAAAAATAAATAATTAAAAAATATATAGATGTGTGTTATTTTGTTCTAACTGTATTGTGATATTAATATATATATATATATATATATATTTATATCAAAATACATGTAGAACGAAATAATATATATATATCTATATATATAAATATATACGTATATATCCCTATATATATACCTATATATAAATAAAAATATTTTTGAAAAAATTATATATATATATATACATATATATTCACATACGTATATATATACAGATATTAATTCTACATATATATTTATGTAATATTTTTACATAATTAGGTATCTTAATTAATTACAATTAGCGGGAACTGCCTGACAACCCATGCCGAAAGTAAAGGGAATTTAATTTGCTAGCACTAAATTTAACCCTATAACTTTCCAAGACACCATAAAACCTGTACATGGGGGGTACTGTTCTACTCAGGAGACTTCGCTGAACACAAATATTAGCGTTTCAAAACAGTAAAATGTATTACAACGATGATATCGCCAGTAAAAGTGCTGTTTTTTGCATTTTTCACACACAAACAGCACTTACACGGACGATATTATTGCTGCGATACTTTTTACTGTTTTGAAACACAAATATTTGTGTTCGTCGAAGTCTCCCGAGTACAACAGTACCCCTCATGTACAGGTTTTATGGTGTTTTCAAAAGTTACAGCGTCAAATATAAGGGTTGTGTTTTTTTCACATTAAAATTCGCCAGATTGGTTACGTTGCCTTTGAGACCCTATGGTAGCCCAAGAATGAAAATTACCCCTATGATGGCATACCATTTTCAAAAGAAGACAACCCAAGGTATTGCAAACGGGTATGTCCAGTCTTTTTTAGTAGCCACTTGGTCACAAACAATGGCCAAAATTGGCGTTTTTTGCATTTTTCACACACAAACAAATACTAACGTTAACTTTGGCCAGTGTTTGTGACCAAATGGCTACTAAAAAAGACTGGACATACCCCATTTGCAATACCTTGGGTTGTCTACTATTGCAAATGGTATGCCATTATGGGTGTAAATTTCATTCCTGGGCTACTATACAGTCTCAAATGCAACGTAACTAATCTGGTGAATTTCAATTTCAAATGTAACGTGTTATATTTGACCCTGTAACTTCCCAAAATGCCATAAACCCTGTACATAGGGGGTACTGTATTACACGTGAGACTTTGCTGAATACAAATATGTGTATTTTATTGCAGTAAAAGCAAACAGTATTATGACATTGAAAGTTAAAATCTTATTTTCTCCCATTTTTTTCATATTAAATTTTGTTTCATAGCTAAATATTTGATATTAAATGAAAGCCCTGTTTCCCCTGAATAAAATTATATATAATAAGGGTGGGTGCATTTACTATGAAAGAGGTGAATTACGTTTGGACAGACATGTAGCGCAAATGCCAGGTTTTGTTTACATTTTGTTTTGTTCACAATTTGTACATTTGGCTCCGTCCTTAAGGGGTTAAAAGGGGACTTCACCTAATGTTCCATCTTAAAAGGGAATGTATACTTGAGAATAGATTCTCTCTTTTCAGAATGCATTATATAACTAACACACTAAATACATTTTTGTTAACAAAATAACTTAATAAATTATATTTATTTAACTTTTTTAAATTTCCTAGTGCTTGCTTCTGACAATTGCACAACATAGTAGTAGACAGACCCTCTTTCAGCAAGAAGTTACTTATGAATCTGGATCTACATCTTTTTTTTCTATAGGATCTGCTCTTTTCTCTATCTGGGAATTTGGCTTCCAATATCATTTCTATGCAGATGACATGCAAATCTACCTGTCCTCTCCTGATCTCTCCCCGTCCCTCTTGACTAGTGTCTCTGACTGCCTCTCTGCAGTTTCTAACTGGATGGCTGCCCACTTCCTTAAACTAAACTTGACCAAAACTGAAATTCTGGTCTTTCCTCCCTCAAATGTTGTTACTCCTGTGTCTGTCTCCCTCCAAGTCAACGGTGCTACCATCAGCTCCACCATGCAGGCTCACTGCCTAGGTGTTCTCTTTGACTGCGACCTCTCCTTCAAGCCTCATGTTCAATCTATCGCCAAATCCTGTCATTTCCATCTCAAAAACATTGAGTGCATCCGCCCCTACTTAACGCCAGAAGGTGTTGGTCCATTCCACTGTCCTTTCTCGCCTTGACTACTGTAATCCGCTTCTCAGTGGTCTTACGTGCTCCCAACTTGCGCTGTTACAGTCCATAATGAATGCGGCGGCGAGGCTCATCTTCTTGTCCGCCCGCACCTCCCATGCCTCACCCTTCTGTCAGTCCCTTCATTGGCTTCCTATAAAGTAGAGAGCTCAATTTAAAATTCTGGTTCTTGCTTTCAAATCTCTACATAATGCTGCTCCCACCTATCTATCCTCCCTTATACACAAGTATGCCCCGTCTAGGCCCTTACGATCTGCTGAAGACTTACCTCTATCTTCTGTCCATACTCCCACCTCGGATATCACCTTCAAGATTTCTCGAGGGCTGCACCGTTCCCGTGGAACTCGCTTACCTCCTACGTTAGATGCTCACCCAGTCTCCACTCCTTCAAAAAACCCACTTCTTCATAAAAGTGTATTAATTAAATTAGTTCCTGACTAATTCCTCTTCTGCAACTGTCACTAGTCTAATATTATCTTATCCTTACCTTTTTGTGTCATTTTACCCCACTCCCTCTAGCATGTAAGATCATTGAGCAGGGCCCTCAACCCCTCTGTTCCTGTGTGTCCAACTTGTCTGGTTACAACTACATGTCTGTTCGTCCACCCATTGTAAAGCGCTGCGGAATTTGACGACGCTCTATAAATATCATGATAATAATAATAATAACATGCGCTCAGTACAAGATTTTGCACAATACAAATAACACTGACACAGGTAGCCTGGAACTCAATGTCCCAACTGCCGAAGTGAAAACCATAACAGTGATAGATTGAATGTTGCTTTTTTTGTTCTCACAGTTGTAGAAAAAAAAAACATTTATGTTCTTTGGAACATTTATTTAGATTGTTAGCATTCGTGCAGGACTGTCAAAATCTACTATGTTGCTTATTGAATATATACTGTTATATAAATAAATATATTACTACTAATAATGATATTTTTTTAATTATTTAAATTATTACATAAATAACCAACACAAATGAAGCCCTATACAATTCAAAACGTTTTTTATTATTTTATTTAAAATGTATTATTGTCTTCAACTTGATTTTATTTTATACCTTCTTTGTTTTATGATAATGTACATGGAAAAAGAAGCCAACAATATTGGAATATATGTTTATAGAATGTATGATGTTCAATACAGTTATTATTTAAAACATATATGAAACAAATTAGGAATAAAATAGTGAATAAACAAGGAGAATAAAACTAGCTTATTTAAGTCAATATAAAACTTCTAGAAATTAATTTAAAGGGATGAAATTAAAGGGACACTATAATCATCAGAAAAACTATATCCTGTCCCTGCAGGCTGTTTTCTGTAAATACTGCCTTTTCAGAGAAAAGGCAGTTTTTACATTGCAGCTTAGAAACACCTCTAGTGACTGCTCCTCAGAGGGCCACTAGAGGTGCTTCCTGGGGCAGTGCTGTACAGTGTGTAGCTGAGACACTGAACTTTGATTCAGTGCATCTCTATGAGGAGATGGTGATTGGCCAGGGCTGTGTTTTGTTCTGCTCACTAGCCTGTGCCACCTGTAAATAGGTTTTCATGAGCTGCAATATGCAGGTGATGACACTGGCAATCCTCCTTTGCTCCCTCACCAGCTGGAAGAAAACAACTTTCAGGACTATGGTGTGGGGTTCTGGCAAAGGTGGGAAGCTGAATGAGGTCTCTGGATACAGGTGATGGTAGCAGTGGTGGCATCAACCCTGATAGTGCAGGTGGAACCAGATAGAAGGTGTGGTAACTGCATCAGTTAAACTAATGGGAAGGTGGGGCTAACTGGAGGATTAGTGGATGGTGAAATGTGTGGAGCTTTAGTAGAGACATTTAAGTGTCCTGATCTTCCATCAAATGTCCCTTGATCTTCCTGTAGGAGTCGCACTCTGGGGAGTAGGAGACACAATGATTCTTTGTAGAGCATGACCTGTAAGATATGTGAGATAAACCACATCCTCAACCATTCTCCACTTCAAAAATGTACTCACTTTAAAGCCCTGGTCAGATTTGGTATTGTAGTAATTTTACCCCATAGGTAAACTTAGATCCTGGGCCTCCATGAAATGCAGCATATGCACATGCAAACACACATGGGTTTGTTCAGTAAACAGTTCATTTGCAATTGAAAACCAAGGCCATTATTTCATATTTTTGAAAACATTTTTTTAATTATTTAATATTTATGCTTAAACGTAATTGTTTTCCACAATTCACAATTCATTAAATTGCTGTGAATTCCTCTACTACAATTACTGAAGAACGGTGCAAGCTTAGCTCATTGTCTCAGAGTGATCAGCTGACACTTTCAGCCAATAAGCTAACCATGCACTGCAGATGCTTGTGGTCTTTCATCGGAAGTAGTGGAGTTGGGGAGAAGCATCTGATGGTCACCAGGGTTGGGGTAAAACCATTCTAAAGTGGGTTACGGTGATTGGATTTTCCTAGGATTTAGAATTTTAGAAGTTTTATTTTTTCACTGAATGGATGCAGCATGGAATGGTTTAAAATATACTTGTACTTGTTGGCCTTTGTGTGCACGCATGCCTTTGACCTTAATGCTGAAGTTAGAGGATTCAGAATTTGTTTCTAGCAGCTTTAGATTTGTAGTAAAATTTATTAACCAATAAGACAATGAGGCAATATGGAAATAAGTTGCAAGTTTTACCAAAGGTTCTACATTCTGTTCGAAAAGTATCACATCTGATAAAGTCTGTTCGAATTTACACGATCACAGAGTTCTCTTGTTATCGCAGGTTTTATTAAAATTTGCTTCCAATAAAATGAGCCCTCTAGTGCAGGGGTAGGCAACCCCGGATGCTGTGGAGTACACTTACCATATGTCAGGATTACTAATTGATCTAGCACGTAGGATTGTGTCACACCTAGGACTAAAAGGTAACGTATAACCGGGCCTTAGAATGACTTAACGCACTTAAGAATAGCCAGGATCCTTCCCGAGGTCGGGGGTTACAGAATGGGACACAACGATAAGGGAAAGCCAAACGTCAGGAATACCAGAATACAGAGAAGTCAAGCGAAGCCAAAGTCAATAACCAGAAATAAATGATCAGGATCACACTCTCGGACAACCACAAAAGTAAACCACGACAGGGCAATCTGGAAAAGTAGAATTATGTTTAAATAAGCCATTAACAACTTTGATTGGTTGAAATCAGCCTTTGACCCCAGAATGTGCGCACATGTCTCCTGCATGACGTCACACACACACGCCGACGTCGTCATCAACGTGGTCGGATGTGGGGCCATAATTGGGTGTGGATCCACAGCGACCAGCATCCATCAAAGTGTTGCAAGAGTCAGTTATGCAGACGAGCGGCCGCTGAGCGCAAATACCGCAAGGTGAGGAAGTATATATTACACCATAATGCTCTTAGAGGCATAATTCTGGCAAAGCATCAGGAGAGATGTAGTCCACAACATCTGGAGTGACGAAGGTTGCCGACCCCCGCTAGGATATAGTTTTTTGACTTTGCTTATTTGTTAATTGTTTTTTCTTTATTTGCAGAGCTAGAGAGAAAAAAAAAGTTGTACACAATAAACAGCTGGATATTTTGGGGCACGGTAGAGAGTGCCTGAAAATTCTCTGCTGCATTCATCAGGCACCTGAAGGTTAGGCTGGATTTCTGTCTTTTCCTAATGCTGTATTGATAAAGAAGGCCCCAAAAGACATACTTCCTGAAATCATCATGTATTGACAAGAGAATTACAAAATGTGGGGTATTTTGGCTCAAATGTTGCATTTCTAGTAAGTTGGTCACATATTGCTCTTTAGTAAATAACCCTATAAGACACCAGTGTAATATTAAAGAGGTTATCTGAGTAATTACGTAAAAAATTTAATATTTGATCAGCTGAAGTCATGAGAACATTGTAATATATCTGTGTTGATATTGACTTGCACTGACGCATGATACGCTTCGTGTCGGTTAGTCAACAGGATCCACTAACTGATAATGTTAATTAACAAAGTATATAGAAGCTTGCTGTTGACATTATCCTCATAGACCACAGACGGATTCAGAATGAACCCCAGCTCTCACAAACGCTATTATCTCCATGAATGGAACCCAAAAGACTTCTTT